GGGAGAGGGTATTTTTCATGCTAGGTAAGTTATCCAGTCAGGTAGGTTTATGGTATCCATTTTTAGAACAATTTCTTTTATCTGCTTTCTAACCTAATTGATATTTGCGAATTTAGTGATGCGGAGGTGAAGTTACATCACCCCACATGGTTGATTTTGGGCTTTACATCTGGTCCTTAATTTGTTCTATTTTATGGTTTACAGAGAAGTTGGATTTCGTTTGTGTCATTAACACAATGAATATTTCTTTGACATCCTCAAAATTTTAGTCGTTAAATCTGTTGTCCATGTTTTTGGCTTTTAGTTTGATGGATATAGTCGTAGTGGAACTGGAGGTTTAGTTTGGTAGAGCAGGCTTCATTTATCGCATTTTATCCAAGATCAGTGTCTTTTAAGATGTAAAACCTCCAGGGAGTCTAATTGAGGTGTGAGTCTATGCGTAATATGCATATGTACATACATATAGACTCACATAGAACTCTCAATTGAAGAATACGAATACCTGTAAGTTATTTTTTCAAGCTGTATAACTCATTGTGTATAAAATTTTATCAAATATGAATGAAGGAAAAGGGAAAAGGGAAAAAGGAAATTATAGGTTTATTGTCATTCACAAAATAAAATGAGGAAGGAGCTTAAATGAGGAAAAATTCTAGAAAAGGGAAGTTTTCGAAAGTACAGTTTTTTTTACCCATGTAATCAATCGAGTCAGACCTTTGATTTTAAGTTTTAGTTTTATCAAATTGAATCTTGAACTTGAATGAGGGGTAAAAGTGAAAATTATACCCTTTAGTTGAGTTATTCTTTCTGGATATTTGTAGCTAGGTGTGAACGTTCTTGTGGTCGGCTGAGGCTATTTTTTCATCTGCTAGTTTTTGTGACCATGTTGGGTCCTTGTGACTAGGCTTGCCATGTTGATTATTGAGTTTGGGCATATTTTTAGATGCATGATTTTAAGGTTGGGTTTGAGCATTTTGTTGTTGGATTCTATGGGTGTTTTCCTTACTGAATCTTGGGTGATGTTGGTCGATTTTTTAGCAATTTTTTAGTTTGGTTCCATGTTTTAATTAGATGAAATAAAAACTTTAAAAGCCAAATTTGGCTTGGGGGTGTTTTTGATGCTATAGTTTACAAAGTTGTCACTTGGTGTAAAACTTCTCCTATTTTCCACCACTATAGCTTTTCTTCCCTCTTGACAAATTGGAAATGTCTTATGTAACCCTTCTTGGGCTTTTGTAATTTCACTCATCAATGAAATTGTTTCTTACACACAAAAAAAAATTGGCTTGGGGGTGTTTTTGGGAGTTCTTCTACAGAAGTGATTTTTGTTAAAATTGCTTCTACTTATAAGTAAACAAGTACTTTAGCAAGGAGGACTTTAAAATAAAACACTTAGAATATCTCAAAACTGCCTTTAATTTCCTTTAAATTGATCTTTGGATGATTAATATTTACTTAACAGATGTTTCCAAAATTGACAAATTACCAAAATGAATATAATTAATATATAACAAAATTACTATAATGAAAACAATTAAGATTACAAAAGAAAAAAAGATATAAATGTGGGAAGTACGTGTAGAGAGCTAGAGAGGCTAGCAAAAGAAAGTGTGTGACATGAGATTAGCGGTGTGTGTAGAGTGGTAAGTAAAAGTATGGTTTGAAAGGATGATGCATATATTTATGATTTATTCTAGCATTCTTTTGGCATCTATGGCTTGAAAGGAATGAGAGACTTTTCAACAACTAAGATAATTCTTTCAATTAATTCTTAAAAACTCTCATTTTTGTTGCCCTCACTTGATGGAAATGTTATTCTTCTTCCAACATCTGTACTTTAAACACTGTTTTAGCCAATTGGTTGAGCTTTTTATAATCTTCATTGGTTTGTTGTTGGGCCTTTTTCCCCCCTTTTCATTTCTGTTTCTTATAAAAAACAATGATGCACGTATTTGAACATCAGTTGGAAAGTTTGCCATAAGATCTGCTTTGATTAAGTAAAGAATTTTATGTGATTAATTGGTCTAGTTGTCAAAAGGATAACACAAACTTCAATGCCTTTGAGATCTTTGATTTCAGCCTTGGTTGGTCACCAACTTGGGATAGTATCTTATGGGATGGGGTGAATCTAGTAAGTTCATAGAGTAGTTGATGTGAAGAAGAAAGTACTTTTTTGGTGAGTAGTTTGTAGTTAAGAGGGTAATTCTCTAATTTTCCTCTTAGTTTATTCTAACTTTTAATTTTGTGTTTAATAGGTCGCTCAACTTAAAGTGTCTAGTAGGTCGTTAAACTTTCAAATTTGTGTCTAAGAGGTCCCTAACATCGACATTCTTTAAAACTAATTGATCTAGTCGACATAAAATTGAGTTTTGTGCCCAATAGGACCATCAACTTTCAATTTTGTGTCTATTAAGTCTCTGACTTTTTAAAATGGTCAATTGGGTCACGTACATATTAAATACGAAATTGAAAATTTTGCAGCCTATTAGACATAATTGAAAATTTAGGAACTTATTAGATATTTTTTTTAGGTTCTGAGACCTATTAGACATTTTTTAGGGTTTAGGGACCTATTAGATACAAACTAGAGAGTTAAGAGACTAAACTTGTAATTTAACCTAATATTTTTTCATATCCACATTTTCTTTGTTTTCTATCAAAAAAGATAGGTGGTTATAGAAGGGAAACTAACCAATGTGTAAGGTCCTTGGTTTATGCTGTGGTTTGTTTCCCTTTGAATTTGAAGAAATATATTCTTCACCTTCTTGGTTGGAATGAAGTGGCATGTAGTGTTAGTGGGTATGCTTAATTCTCTCTCATGCTCAATGCACCATATTTTTCTCTCGTTGTCATGAATCATTATATCATTGGTGCAGACCGTGGATATTATTCCGTGGAGACTGTTACACTTCTAGTGGCTCTGAAAGTTCGTTATAGAGATAGAATTACAATCTTGAGGGGAAATCATGAGAGCAGGCAAATAACTCAAGTGTAAGATTGTTTAAATTCCTCTAAGTTCTTACATTACTTGACCTTTAATTTTTTTTTGTATTTATCACCAGACTGTATTTACTCCATGATTCCAGCAATGAGTGCACTTATGTTCTTCTGGAACTGCATTGTTTTTTTTTTATTTCTGCATGTATTTTTTCTGTTTGTAATATTATATTATAACAGTCTCCCTTTCTAAATGATTCATGGCCTGCTTTCCCATTTTTAATTACATTATATGGATTTTTAATCTTTAAATCCAATGCTTATATTGCTTAAGTTATTATGGTAGCTTCTCATGCATCATTTTAGGGTGAGCCTGTGAGGTCGTGACTTGAGATTCCATTTCTAGTAGTGACTTTTGTAGCTTATGAAATGGGCATTA